TGGCAAGGGTTGGCAGAGAGCTGGAGCAGTCCCAGCGGATGGGAGTCATGGCAAGGCACACAGTCCTGGGACTGCAAAGCCAGTCCCCAAAGGCCCCCACCTGATAGGGGCTTAACAGGACTCTTCATTTATAGTCTCACTGGGTCTTTTCACTGAGCGAGCATGAAGCCTGCTCCCTAGCGTTCACCATCCAGAGAGATCCAGGGTTAGGTCTGAGGAAACTCAGAGGGGACGGGCCCTGCCTCGGAAGAAAGGCCTTGCCTTCTAATGAAGACAAAGCTGGGGCCCAGACAGCCCAAATAATCTCCTGGAGGCTACACAGGAGGAAAGCGGGAAGGGCTGCACTGGGATTCAAGGCCATATTTGCTGGACCCTGGCCCAATACTCACAACTTGCCGAAGCTACGGTTGTTGGCATCTTTGTTCACATTTCTGATATAACATAGTCTGTCATCTCTTCCTTGAAGGCAGGGACAATGTTTTTGCATTTGTTAGTACCTGGCAGCACATTTAATAAATGTTTATTGACTGACGCTCTCACAGTGATCATGATGGTGCAGAAAGAGACCAAATTTAACCTCATGCACCTACTCCTAGGAACATAGCACACATCTCAATTTGTTATGTCCGAAATACACTAGTGGGGCATTCAGACAGACACGGCTGCCTAGCAGATGGAGCACTGGCCTTGGGCTTGGACAGGTCACATCTCTTCTCGGGGCTCTGGGTTGCTCTTTGAGGTGATAACAGAAAAAGCCGCTCTTGGAATTCCCTCCAGCCCACAGAGCCGTGGGCCCAGATTGGGGGAAAAAACAGAGAATGTTCTGGTTTTTAAGAAAACTCTACGGGAACGACCAAAGTGAAGACGTGTGTTATGAAGCCCACTGTGGCTCTCTAATCTGTCTGGCTCCACCAGGCCGGCCTAACACACAAGGTACCTGCCGGCCTCCCCACAGAGCACAGGCCAAAGGGCCTCCTCGCCTTCAGGACTGAGTCCTGGCCCCGTCTCTGAGCTAAGTCTGCGCCATGTGGGAAGAGCTGTTGAATCCCACCCCACTCCCCCCAGGCCCACTGTGGGATCACGGTCCACGGCAGAAAAGCTTTGGGAGTCTGCCATTGAAAGGGCAGCCTCAGCCTCCTGCGAGAGATGCACTGTCCAGGGGCCAGTACAAGGGGAAGAGTGATTTTTGGCTCCAGAGACTCCACAAGGCCATGGAGGGGCTGTGAGCAGCGGAAGCAGGCACAATGACTAAACAAACCACAGATTTTTTCAAGGTACAAATTTCTCAATTTAGTAAAAGGAAAAAACAAAGCCCAGCACATTTGGTGTCAGAAGCCTAGGTCTGAATCCCAGCTCTGCTCTGGTCCCCCTCTATGGCCTTAAGCAAGTTGCCCCTCCTCAGGCCTCGGTTTCCTGACCTGTCAAAGAAGGGGCAGGCCAGAGGGCTGATTTCTAAATCCCGTGGTTCTATAAGACCTCAAAGGTCAGGGAAAGAAGGCAGATCCATAAAGCTCTGCTGGTTTTCAATGCCAAGCACCCAGTTTCTTCTTTTAAGAGACAGGGACCTGGCGGGAACCATCACTGAGGTCCAATCGCACAGGTACTAAGAGCACCAACTTTTTATCATGATTCTTTCGGCCTTCCCCTCAGAGTACATCACTGCCACTTCTCCGAGGCTCTCAAATGTCAGTCAGACAGGGAAAGGTGCCCTTCATCCAGAGAGGTCCCGATTTCTGACCAAATGAAGTGCCCATGAGCTCTCCCTGAGGCAGCACTGAAATGATGAGTCTGCTGCGTCCAGAACCCACAGTGGGCTGCTTCCCACCTCCCCTCGTCCGTTCTTCGGGTCCGATCTGATCCGATCTGATCACGGTGCTCTCCACATCCTCCTCGGAACAGGGTCTGGGTCCTGATGTATACCTGGACTCAAGAGCCTGAACCGCTGCCACGTTCCAAAAAAGGGATTGCTGAGAGCCCGCGCAGGTCACCAAGGGGGACCTGGGAATCAGGAGGTCTCAGATTCAGCGCCAGAGGCTGGTGAAAAAAAATAAGGAGGCCATCTCAGCCCTCAGGGAACCTGAGGCGCCTTGACCTGGCAAGCCTCAATGGAAAAGGGCAGGGAGATCAACTCAGAGGAGCTGAAATTTCCTGTGTCGCAGACTAGCTGGCCTTCCCCGACCTCATTTCCATTTTTTTCTGGCTCCATCTCAGCCAGTGACCCCTCCTTCACACACCTGACTCAGCTGGGCCCTGAGAAACAGAGAAGAGCCCTGTCTGGGTGAGGTGAAAATGAGGGGCAGGGCTTGTGCCCTTGGAATGCTGACTGCCAGAGACAATGCACTGAACTCTCCCTCACCTCTTCTTACGGCCGATTGTGCAGATGTGGAAGACTTTCACCAGGAAGAAAACACCAGCTCCAGGGCCCCGGGACTACAGGAGAATTAGTGAAAGGAAGCACCTCCACAGGATGGAAAAGCCAAGATGCTCCCTATGACGGAAGGAGGAGCCCAGGGGAGTGCACGCCTTGGGTTTCCTGGGGTCCCCAAAACTCAAAGACAAGTGGAAAGCTGCCCCTGAGCCTTGAGAAGAAGTGGGCTCATGGCAGCAGGAGGGGACATACCCAGCGAAAGATGGAAAGCAAGCAGAGGAAGAGGCTGACAGAAAGTGAGGGAGTGAAGCCACCCTTCACCAAGGACACAGAAGCAGGGGAAGGAGAGAGGCAGCTCCTGAGTGTGTATGTGTATGTGCAGCTGTGTGTTCATGTGAGTGGGAATGTGTGTGTGTGTGTGGAGTATGTGTGTGAATGTGTCTGTGGGTGTCTACGCAGGACCACAGCCCCCTGGGAAGTGACAGTGACTCAGGGCTCCCAGGGGACACAGGTATATATCCTTGTCCCTTCATCCCCCAGGTCCCCCATCAGGCAACAGAAGGCACCTCCCCTGGTCTCCCCCATAACAGGCTGCCCCAGGCCAAGCTGCCATCCCACCCCCAAGCTCTCTCTATCCTCCCAGCCTAGGAAACCTCCCCTCCCAGGACTCTCCCACATCAAACTTGCTGGGGCAGGTCCTGAGAGCAGCACCAGGACAGGGATGTGCAGCCTAGACAAGGGAAGGCCAAGGGGTCACAACAGCTGTCATCAAGTAACTAAAAAGAAACAGCAATGGTTCCGCCTGAGCCCAGAGGGCAGAACTCAGAGCCCAGGTTGGAAATACAGAAGCAAGTTTGTTGGCTGGTGGAGCAGTGCCCAGCCTACCGAAAGCACTGAATAAATGTTCTATCCACCCATCCTTCCATGTATCATCTATCTATCCACCCATCATTCATCTATCTATCCTTCCATCCATCTATCATCTAGTTTTCTATCTATCTATCCATCATCTATCCATTCATTCATCTGTCTATCCATCCATCCATCCATCCTTCTATCTATCCATCATCTGTCCTTCTATTCATCAATCCGCCATCTATCTATCCTTCCATCCATCCATCATCTGTCCTTCTATCCACGTCTATCCATCATCCATATATCTATCATTCTATCCATCATCTATCCATTCATCCATCTGTCTAGCCATCCATCCATCCATCCACCATCTATCCATCATCTATCTTTCTATCCATGTCTATTTGTCATCTATCTATCCTTCCATCCATCCATCATCTGTCTTTCTATCCATGTCTATTTGTCATCTATCTATCCTTCCATCCATCCATCCTTCCAGCCATACATCATCTATCCATCTATCCATCCACCCATCCATCCACTTGAGGAAAAATTACGGTCACAGTAGAAGGGGCTGCCTTGGAAGGCAGCAGGCTGGTTTTTCCACCTTATTACACATCACAACCATTTGCTTATTCAATGGCCTACTGGCTCACACACAATTCCCATTCGCCATCTTTGTGCCTTTGCACGGTCCATCTCCCATTCCCAGAAAACACCTCCACCTCTCCAAATCATCTTGAAATCACTTTATATAGGTGTGTGTGGTTGTTGTTTCCCTGAATGGACAGCCCTGTTCACATCTGCACATCCAGCACCAAGCCCACAGGCTGGGGATGCATCTACAGTGGCCAGAGAAACCTGGCTGTGTTTAATTCAGTTCCAAGCCTCTCATGCCAGGATTCTGTATTCAGCTACCATGGAGAGGACTCTGGGTTTGGACATTAAGAATCTGAATGAAAACTTTTTTTAAAATCTGAGCAAGCTAACAAAATAATTGATGAAACAATGGAGACAACAACAGAATAGACCATTCCCATCAAAATAAAGCTGATCAATTAACTGGGAAATTACAGGCCAACAGAAGCTGTGTGCTACAGTGGTTCCATAGCAAGCTTCCATTCCCAAAAAAGGCATGCCACCTGACATTTCAGGGGTCAGGGCAGAGAGTTGGAGACAAGGTGCTGAGGAGGAAAAGAGCATTCCTACAGGCCTACTGTGTGCCAGGCACCTGCCGAGCCTGTCATCCCTCTCCTGGGAGTCCTCCTGACCAATGAAGGCTAAGGTCCAGCCCCCACCTGCTAGTGAGCCCCTGTGGTCATATCCATGCTCCAAGGCAGAAACAGGAGGTGCCCAAACGACTCCCACTGGGCTCAGGGAGAGATGGAGCCTGGGCCCCTTCCCCACACTATCCAGAGGGCTGGGAGGGCAAGGGGGAAAATAGGGTCACAGAGCAAGGGAAGCAATTCAACAAGCCCATGCCTAGGAAGAGCGGGAACCAGTATCCAGAGCCAGAATGCTAGAGGGACAGTTAATGAAATAACAAATGCCAGCAGGTTCCAATTATCTCAATCTCATTCCAGTCAGCCCAAGAAATGTCAGAGTTGGGAGGGGCCTGAGAACAGGGGACGGCGGGGCGGGGGGGGGGCCTGAGGCAGTACGTCATCCCCGGGGCTGGGCCTCTGCCTCTCCCGTTTCTGGCACCAGCCCAGCGGGCCCCCTCCCCCTCCCCGTGGGTTCGTGATTCAGTTTCCCCTGCTTTCGGCCCCTCGGTTACCGGTGCTGCTGTTCGCGGAGCAGCAACATGATCTCCCGCAGCCGCTCCAGCCGCCTGCCCGGCTCGTCGTCAGCTTCCAGCGCCGCCAGCGCCTCCTCCACAGGCCTGGAGCTGAAGTCCGCACGGTAGGACTCCTCACTGGGCGCCGCCATCTTCCGCGAAAGGGCAGGCCCCGCGCTCAGGGAACCGCCCAACAACGGCCTTATCTCCCATCCGCTGCGCGTGGTCGCCTCAGAGCCCGCCCCTCGGCGGCTTGAGCCCCGCCCCCAACGGCTTTTCCCACAATCGGGTGTCTGGTTCCTCTTCCCGCCCCGCCTCCTTCCAGGCTCGAATCCCTCCCTCAACATCTCCCCCGCCAATCCTCGGCGGCCTCCTGTTCCCGTCCCGCCTCTTCAGCCTCGCGAGCCCCAGCCAATCTGCTCCCTTGTCCCCGCCCCCTGCACGCCCCTGAGCTCGGGCTCCGCCCCAACGGCCTGAGAGTCGAATCCCCAGCGCGTTGGGTTCATCGAGTCCCTCCTCCGAGGCCGCAGTCGGTCCCCAGCCCCGCCCCCTCCCCAGGTGCCTGGGCCCCCTCCCCGGGAGCGTGGAAGCCTCCTGGGAGGGGGCGAGGTCTGCCTTATGTGCCCTGCCCCGGACTCCACCGACGCTGGTCCAGTGGACCAGCCGCAGGACGCTGAGAGCGGGGCTGGAGGTTCCGGGGATTCCGTCGCTGTGAATGATCCCCAGGAGCCTCTCCCGAGCACAAGGTGATGGGTGCGAAGTCCAGCCTTGAGGGCACCTGCACATGCAGAGCCTGAGGTCCGGGGCGCGTCCTACTGGCGTCGCTTCGGGGGCAGAAAGGATCTCAAAGGCGCCGGATCGAACGCCCTCTCTCTCTCTCTCTCTCTCTCTCTCTCTCTCTCTCTCTCTCTCTCTCTCTCTCTCTCTCTCTCTCTCTCTCTCTCTCGTTAAGAGGCGGTGACTAAGGAATAACAGAAGTGGGATTTCAACCTGGGTCCTCAGCCTGCCGAATCCATCACTGAAAAGTTCTTTTTAATGTATTTAATATTTAATTTAATATTAATAATTAATAAATAATATTTAATATATTTCATTTCTTTTTGTTATTTTTTGTGCATCATGAATAAAGATCACCTGAGAAATGCATTTTTGATACGTTCACCTGTTAGGGGTCCATTGACTGAAAACAACAGGAAGGGAAGAAAGGGGGTTCTAATTGGATAAATCCACACTGGCCACACTGCCTTCTAACGAGGAAGTAGTTGCCTCCCGCGAAAGGACAGAGCTGGGAACTCGAGGTGTTACGGCTCTCGGAGAAGCAGAGAAAGCAGCATTCTTCCTGAGCAGCCCGCGGATGGGGGAAGCACCCAGCCCAGGAGGAGCTCAGCATTGCCTTATCTGGGCTGCCATCCCTGAGAAGGGTCGGGTAGATGGGCACATTAGGTACTCCCTGACGGTGAAAAAAAGAAGGGGTGGGGGTCGGGGGCGGATTTTTTAGGCAGCAAAGAAAGAGTGAGAAGACGAGGACAGACTGAAGAAGAGAGAGCGATCAGTGCCCCCCCCCAACCCCCAGCACCCAAGGAAGGTGAGAGGAGGTAGGATGGAGGTGTGGTCTTGGCTAAAAGAGCCAGCCCTCCCTCGAAGCCTGGAGGAAAGGAGTTGTAGACAGGAAATGGAAAAAAGTACTCTTCTGCCTCGCCTTTCTTTGATCTCCCGCATTGTGTACCCCAAAGTAGAATCTATAGCTAATTGATTGCCTTCTTAAGGGGGGAAGAAGGGAATTTGTAACTAAAAAAAGAAAAAGTAAAAAATTGTTTTTTACATGTAATTGAGAAAAAGCAACAACCTTCAAGTGCAACGTGCTGCGTTTGTGTCTGGTGTCCCTGCTGGAGGGGAGCTCCCTGAGGGCAGGGGCTTGGGGCTCAGCCAGACTCCCCGAGGGCGAGACCTCGCACTTTGCAGCTGTATGATGTTTGGGATTTGTAACGAGAGGCAATGAGACTGTGGAGAGCCGGATCTCCACCCAGCTCTGCTGCTCGCTAGCTGTGAGACCTTGGGCCACTTCCCTCCCGTCTCTGGGCCTCCGTTTCCTATTGAAAGCTAGGAGGCGGGACGCAATGACCTGCCAGAACCTTGGAGCTCTTGGGGATGGTGGAATCAGCACGGACATGACCAAAACAGAGGCTACTTCTCCCTCCCTCTACTTCCAGAGAACCCAGAGCCCCGGGAGCGTGGCCTGGCTGGGAAGAGGAGGGAGGAGAGAGTGCCAGAGGCGGGGAAAAGGCTGGAGCAGCTCGGCCGAGACATTCCTGGTCCGGGTTCTGCAGCCAGACAAGCCTTGCTCCCATGCAGGCTGGCTTCTCCCTTGACTGCCTGGGAGCTAGAGCCCACATACCGTTCCTGACACCTGGAATGCTTCCTATCTCCACCCTCCTGTCTGCCAAACCCTCCTTGCAAACTGCGTTGGGCTCTCCCCTCCTCCGAGGAGGGAGTCTCCCAAGCCAATGGGGCACTCCATCAACTCGCTGCTTTCTCCATCAACTCGCTAGGTTTTCCTTCAGCCTACCCCCCCCCCACGCACCTTGACTCATTACCCCTGAGAAAACTGCTCCCGTGGGGGACTGCTGGCAGCCTCTCCTTTGGGCTGGGGCTGGAGGTGAGGGCTCCCTGGTTTAAAAGTGGTAGTGATGTGGAGCTCGTATTTGGGAGCTACTCCCCAACCTCCAGTCTCTCTGACAAGTCAAGGGCCCCAGAGCATGGCAGCCAAGTCCCCTCAGGGTTCTAGGGGTAGCTCTGAGAGGTGGAGGGGAGCAGGTTTTCTAATGCTATGGCTCAAGCCCCAACTAGTGTGCTTCCTGTCCTGATTATAGGTCCCCTAGACTCTATTTGTTTTCAGAAAGGGGCATTTACTAAGTTGGTACAGTAAGAAAGGTGGGGATAAGCCACCAAAGTCTGTGACACACTTTCCCGGCAGCACACACAGAGTCCAAGGGAAAGAGTAGAGGGCACCTGTGGCATTGGGGCTTTTCTCCCCTTTGTGCAGTGCTCACAAGGCCCCCCTTAGGCAGAAGGGGCTTCTTTGCTGGGCTCTTTGCTGAGGTATGAATCTGCCTTCCAAATCACAGCCAGTGGCTGCTGGTGGGAAACCCCAAATCCTCTGGACCCTTAAAAGCTCACCAGGTCCTCCAGCTGACAGGAAGGGAGGGAGACCTGGGCTGAGAGCAGATCTAAGGCCTCTCCTCCCCCCAACCCCTCCTCCTTTGGAATAACGTCACTTATGATGAAGTCTTACAGATGACCCCTCAGGGCACAATCTAAACACAATTCCTGGACAGCATCTTACAAAGGGAGAAACTGAGGCACAGAGAAAGGAGAGGATTGGTCTAAGAATGCCAGCTAATGGGTGGCAGGGCTGGCTGGAGAGCCCTGGTCCTCCAGCTCTATTCACTGCACAGCATCCTCAAAGCCTTTCCAACTCAGTGGGATCTTGTCAGAGCCTGTGTTCTATCAGCAGTGCCATGGAGAGCCCTCAAGAATGTCAGGGAACCTAGAGCAGAAATTGGTCATGGAAGCTGACACAAACCCTGGGAAATACATCGACACTGGACTGAGGGGCTAGGGAGCTGGCCTGGGAGCCAAGAAGATCTGGGGTCAAATCCCATTGCTGGCACCCAGGACAACTGCTCCATACATTGTAGAGAAAGTGTAGGTGGAGTTTCTATGCACTCCATAAACCCATGAAACCCCAGGTCTGGTTTCTGTCCCCTCTCCCAGCATGCCCCAGAGATGCTGTGTGGCTGGGACTTGGCAGAGCAATCAGGCTCTCCAGAGAACCCCAACTCTAGGAGAACTGGGGGCAGGGGATGGCACCCCATTGCCACAAGCTGTCTTTGGAGTCACGGGACCTGGGTTCTTGTCCTGACTGCCCTCTGGGCCATGAAGGGTCACTACTGACCAGTCAGTGGGCTGCTCTCCAATCAACAAAGGTCGGGTCATTCGGAGGTACGCTCTGAGGATACCCAGCAGGAAAGCGTTGGCTCAGACCAGACCAGCCGGTCCTCACTCGTAGCCACAGAGTGACACCTAGTGGAAGGCAGCACAAAACCGCTTTTCTTCAGGGCCAAGTTCGAGGGCGTTTTCCAAGGGGCTGCTGGACCTTTCGTCCCAGGGGCAGCAGGCAGGCTCACCGTTGGCCCCGCCAAGACCCAGGGCGTGTCTGGCACCCTGCCGCAAGAGGAAGCCCACCCGCGCGAAGCCCCGCATCGCCTGGTGCCCTCCCACCAAAATCACTCTGCACCAATTTTGTATTGAATATGCTACTCTTTATGTGGTTCTCCATTCCTAGAATGGAAGCTCCCTGAGGCCTGGGACACTTTCATTTGTATCTTTGTGGCCTCAGTACCTCAGACAATGCCTCACATGCAGAACAAGTGACAAATCCACATCGAATCATTAAATGAATCCTATGGGTGTTCTAACCCCATGAATAACCACTCAGTACTTACTATTTGTTCCGTGAAGTTTGGATTCAGCCAGAGGGCTGCACTTGAGGACCTAGAGGACCACATGTGGCCTCGAGGCTACAGGGTTCCCCCCTCTCCCAGCCAGGTTTTCTGCCCAGCCTCCCAGGGATCCAGCACTGAAAAAGTTGGCTGTCCCCCAGGGAAGACAGACCAATTAGGAGGAGATGAAGGTGAGTGCAAAGATGGAATAAGGGCAAAGGAAAAACTGGGAGGCAGAGAGAGAAGAGTCTGAAGGGACCTGGGTTCGAATCCCACATCTGGGGTTCACTGTCTACCTGTGGGAGATTGGGCAAGCCACTGAAGCTTCATGGCTTCCATCTTCCATGGCCAGAGCTTGTCAAGTGATATTCTTAATATACAAGTATATTCTGTCTATACCCATTGAAACTACCATAGAACTGGCCACTGTACGTCAGAGCTGAGGACAGAGACTGTCAGAGCTGAGGAGGGACCTAGAACACTAAATAGTAGGGCTGGAAGGGAATCTAGAACAAGGGATGTCAGAGCTGAGAGGGAGCTTAGATGAGACAACGTGGACTCCGAAAGCTAAAAGGGCCCCTGGTGACCTAGCCTTACAGAGAAGAGTCTGAAAACAGGTTACCACAAGTTCCTGGAAGAAGGAAGATACACATGTCCACAGTTTCATAAGGACCTCAGATGCTTCATTTTACAG